ACACCCCAAAATCACCCCAAATTACCCCAAAATCACCCCTAAACCATTCCCAGGCGGTTCCCGACCTGAGACACCCCAAAATCATCCCAAAATCACCCCAAAATCACCCCTAAACCATTCCCAGGCCATTCCCAACCTGGGACACCCGAAAATCACCCAAAATCACCCCAAAATCACCCAAAATACCCCCAAAATCACCCCAAAATTACCCCAAAACCATTCCCAGGCGGTTCCCAATCTGGGGCACCCCGAAATCACCCCAAATCATCCCGAAATCACCCCAAATCACTCCAAAATCACCCCAAATCACCCCAAATCACCCCGAAATCACCCAAAATCATCCAAAAACACCCCAAAATCACCCCTAAACCATCCCCAGGCGGTTTCCGACCTGAGACACCCCAAAATCACCCCAAAATACCCCAAAATCACCCAAAATCAACCCAAAATCATCCCCAGGCGGTTCCTGACCTAGAAAACCCCAAAATCACTCCTAAACCATCCCCAGGCAGTTCCCAACCTCAGACACCACAAAATCACCCCAAATCACCCCAAAATCACCCAAACCCACCCCAAGTCACCCCAAACCCTCCCTGAAACCATCTCCAGCCGTTTCTCAACCTGGGAGACCCCAAGTTACCCCAAATCACCCCGAAATCACCCCAAATACCCCCAAATCACCCCAAACCCTCCCCTAAACCATTCCCAGGCAGTTCCCAACCTGGGACACCCCAAAATCATCCCAAAATCATCCCAAATCACCCAAACTCATCAAAAATCACCCCAAATCACCCCTAAACCATCCGCAGGCGGTTCCCGACCTGAGACACCCCAAAATCATCGAAAATCACCCAAAATCATCCAAAATCACCCCTAAATCATCCCCAGGCGGTTCCTGACCTGAGACGCCCCAAAACCACCCAAAATCACCCCAAATCACCCAAAATCACCCCAAATCACCCAAAATCTCACCGCCAGCCTGTCCAGGGACACCCCGTAGTTGTGTCGGGTGGGGGTCCCATTGTGCCGGACCTCTGCCCCCGACACCACCCATGTGGGGGGCGCGGGCAGGTCCAGCAGGGTGGGGGGCAGCGCGGGGGGCCCGGGGGGGCCCTGCCCGGGGGGCAGAGCCGTCAGACCCAGACGGACGGACCCCGCCCAGCGCTCGTCCAGCGCCTCGATACGGACCTGGGATCGGATAAATCGAGTTTAGATAGGCGGGGATTAGGGGGGCGGGGTTTAGGTGGGCGGGGATTGGGGGCGGGGCTTAGAGGGGAGGGGCTTAGATTGAAATTGGATAGGTCAGGATTAGATAGGCAGGGATTAGATAGGCCAGGATTAGGTAGGCGGGGTTTAGATGGGCAGGGCTTAGATAGGTGGGGATTAGAGGGGCGGGGCTTAGATAGGTGGGAATTAGATAGGTGGGGATTAGAGAGGAGGGGATTAAAGGGGAGGGGCTTAGATGATAGGTGGGGCTTAGATAGGCAGGGCTTAGGGGGTGGGTCTTAGATGGAAATTAGATGGGTGGGGCTTAGGCAGGGATTAGAGGGGAGGGGTTTAGATATGCGGGGTGGGGCTTAGAGGGGAGGAACTTAGATGGAAATTAGATGGGTGGGGCTTAGATAGGCAGGGATTAGAGAGGAGGGGCTTAGATAGGCAGGGCGGGGCTTAGAGGGGAGGGTCTTAGAGGGAAATTAGATAGGCAGGGATTAGATAGGCGGGGTTTAGGTAGGCGGGGATTAAAGGGGCGGAGATTAGAGGGGCGGGGTTTGGGAAGCAGGGATTAGGTAGGTGGGGATTAGGTGGGGGGGTTTAGGTAGGCGGGGTTTAGATAGGTGAGGACTAGGAGGGTGGGGCTTAGATGGGCGGGGATTAGGAGGGTGGGGCTTAGATAGGCAGGGTTTAGATGGGTGGGGTTTAGGGGCAGGTCTTAGATAGGCGGGGTTTAGAGGAGAGGGGCTTAGATAGAAATTAGATAGGTGGGGCTTAGATAGGTGGGGATTAGGTAGGCGGGGATTAAGGAGGAGGGGATTAGAGGGGCGGGGTCTTAGAGTGAAGAGGCTTAGATAGGAATTAGGTAGGCAAAGATTAGAGGGGAGGGGCTTAGATAGGCCGGGATTAGGGGGGCGGGGCTTAGAAGGGAGGAGCTTAGATGGGATTAGATAGGTGGGGCTTAGATAGGCGGGGATTAGGTGAGGATTAGACAGGAGGGGTTTAGACAGGCAGGGTTTAGATGGGCGGGGCTTAGAGGGGAGCAGCTTAGACAGAAATTAGAGAGGTGGGGCTTAGCTAGGCGGGGTTTAG